CGCAACAAATAAATTTTTACATGTAAAAAAAGTATATGTACGCCCTATTCAATTTTATAATAAAAAGTTTCATTCTGGTCTATTCTTTAATTTTATTAAGTAACATTTAAATAATGTCAATTTATCCCCAATTGCTTGTATACTATACGACTTGACTTTCTTAGCAATTTCAATTGGATAATCGAAATTATTCGCCAATATTCTACATAAATTACAAACAGCCATCATTAGTAATTTTTTTGCGTCTCTGACTGTATGTTTCTTTTCTGGTTTATAAGGTGGTCCAGATACTTCAACGTGTAGAATTTCAGTTACGTCTGATAGTCTCAGAACTAACAAATCAGTTTTCTGAGTCCTTATGTTAATTGCAAACATATTGCTCGCATTCCTTATAGATTTGACATCCTTCTCAATCCACTCGTATCTAATTTCGGGAAATGCATTCCTAAAAGATCGAAGTATGGGTGAAAGGCATTCCACAATATACGACCTTTCAGACATATCTCGAGCTAACACTTTAGGTGATATATATTTATACATCGCGATAAAATCTAGGAGAGTGTGCCAGATAAAAAAAAGAAATTGTGATTCCTCGCTCTCTTTAATATTTTTTTCAACTTTGGTTTCTGTTATTATTTTCGAGCTAATTTCTGCATAGTCTGTTTGAAAAATTGCCTCAAATTTCTGAATTATCGATCTATCTAAAATCAATTTGTTCCTCGTTTTAAGAACCTTTTTGATCTTCTCAAATAAACTTTCCTTAACAGATTTTTTGACCAAATGTAACGTTGAGTTGAACGCGCAAATTATGTGCGTAGAGATTAGGTTATATGTTGTTTCCGTTATGATTGGCCTATTTAATGATGCAACCGAATGATCCAGGTTGTTAGACAAGAATTCACGTTCAAATTCTTGATGCTTGACAGATTTTAAAACAACAAAATAAAAAAAATAATGAGAATTGTATATTTTTTATTACGAAGAAAAACTAACAAAAAATAATTACATGATATGGATCTATGTCCGAGCCTGAAATTTTATTATAATTGATATCTTTTCGTTCTCTGAAACTGTACCATCTCACAAGTTCTTCCTAAGGAAGTCATAAAAAAACAAGTAGAAAGGCATTTTCGGATGTATGTATGGTATGAACGGCTTAATCACATCAAATGGTTAAGCCACTGCTGAAATTTATACCGATCACTACCATATTTAACACGTGATTTTATTGGTCGAATTTATATCACGTGTTTAATTTGTGTCACGTGATTAAGGAATTTCGCGATACTTTCGTGATATTTTTGTGATATTTTATTAACACCCGATAGTTTTTATTCTTTTTAATGAAATTTCAATACCAAAACGAAGTAAACAATCCAGACATAATCGAGAAGCTATCAGAAAACGTTGGAAACAAGCAAAAAGCTTTGAAGA